CTCGACACAAACCTGGTGCATTTTCCAGGTTCTGTGAGGGGACGTGGATGAGTTCATGGACATCTCCAACATGGAGGCAGTGATCCAGGCTGGTTCTGTGATTCTCCAGAACATTTATCATGGACCAGATACTACATGGGGTGAAATTTGGTACAACATGTTCTCAAGCAAGGCGGCAGCAGGAGTGATCAGATCAGAGACTCTACCTCCAATGGAGGGTGCAGCTGCTCAGCGTTCACTCTGAGCCTACTTGTAGACCAGGACTGGATCCTTCTACAGAGCAGGTCTCTGAAGCCCAGTGACTATGGATGGACATTAGGGGTATGAGCCAGTTCCAGCACTAGACCCCATGACTCCTGAGCAGCTGTAACAGTAATGGAGATTGAGTGTTTGTGGTGAAATATAAACACTAACAATCAACTCGGAATCATGAACAAACCCTGATTTGACCTCATAAGTTACTGAAGGCCAGATTTTTAAAAAATAGATTTTTCGACAATCATTTATCGGTCCCCTAACCTGAGCAGGTTTTCTCCGGGTTTCCCACAGGAGTTGAACTTCAACATGTTAAAGCATGTTGTTACAACTTTACAAACACTTTGGTGAAGGAATTGTTTGGAGGTGATTTCGTTGGCAGATTTGTGAAGCATCTCATAAAATGCTGGTACTAATATGAGATGTTTGGTCAGAAAACTGGAAAGAAAATTATTTTCAGTGAACTTATGTCGTGCCACAAAAGTTTCCACATTATAAAAGTGGATCGAGAGAATATCCTTAAAAAAAGAAAGGCTTTTATAAAGTATTTGACATATCGAGCTGAAATTTCACAAATATCTTCATATATGTTTTCATATTTTATGCTATAAAGATTTCATGCGAGTCACAGAAACTGCACCAAGTTTTGAGAATAAATGTTAAAATAAACGATGTAAATTCTTACTCTTTTGACACGAACCTGAATCCTTCCTACTGTTTGTCGTTATCGTCTTTAATGCTTTGGCCGGTGTGATCAGGATGCTGGGATTAAACCGCTCCATGTGGTATTAAAGGTCTTAAACCGGCTTTAACTCTGCGAACACAGCAGTGCTGACGGCAAAACAGCGACACCTGCTGAGCTTTTCCAGCCACGGCGGCTGTCTTTACCGAAGATGGACGGGATTTTTATTGTTGGTGGCTGCGTTGTGTTGTCAACAAAATAACGACCTTTTAATGATCCATTTGGTAAAAGTCAAACAGCCAGAAGGAAGATAAGAGCGGAACAAACAACATTTACAAAAGACACAGTACAAAGTGCAAGAATTAAAATGAGCCATAAAGTGGCGTCGATAAGAAAACTAATTGGTAGAAAATCCATTCTTCCTGTCGCTGTCTGTTTGCTTTTACAGGTGTGTGTTGCTGCACCTTGCATTGTGTCTGCAGCGTTTTCATACCTGTTTTTTTGCTTTTTCTTCCCCTCAGGTGACCCAACGACTGCTGAAGGAGTGTCGCTGGACCGAGGAAGGGTAAAAAAAATTAGTCTCAAATGAAAACCGCTTCGTTGAATGTTTTATTTTAAAGATGAAGTAAGAAATAGTCAGACTGTGTTATTAATTTTATTGTGGAAGCATAAAGGCGAATATGTTCTGTAAAGTCGTTTTTCTGCGTCCCGTCAGCCGGTGGACTGGAGCTGGAACCGACACGCCGACAAAAAGTTCCAGTTCATGGACAACTACCTGGTTGCTCACGTCCGGTCCAAGAAGGACAGAGATGCGACGGAGTTCTTCAAGCTGCTGTCGCTCTGCCACACCGTCATGGTCGAGCACAAAGACGGTAACGCTGCAGCTCAGCCACCAATACCAGGATTTAAGCAACAGCAATGAAACCATTAAAAAAAAAACACTATCCAGAAGGTTCTGCTGCGTCTTCTGCTCAACCATCTCTGATGTGCTTAAAACCTTTTTAAAATCATAAGTTATGGATATTTAAAATGCTGTCTGAGAAACTTTACATACATCTAAACTACTTTCAGAGAGTGTTTCAAATCACCCATCGACCCACTTTCAGCAGGTTTTTTTTTTATTTTAACACGTTGACGTTTGAGCGACAACATCTGAGGAACTATTAAAGATAAAAACCTGAAATGTTCTCTGTTGTTTCTCATCATGTCATTGATTCAGAATCTGTAATATTGGACAGTAGATCAAATAATCTCTGATTACGGGTGAGTGGAAATATGAGAAAAAAATTGACACAGCTGTGAAAAATCCCATTTTGAGCTCATCGTAGCATAAAAACTGATAAAGCAGAAGTCAACAGGTGATGTTTTCTGAACCACATGTAGCTGCAGGTCACAGTAATACAAAACTAAACATGTAGAATAGTTTTAATGTGAATTACTTGGTCACAATAATGAAAATAAAATTATTTTCGTGAAAGTTTTATAACTAATTCAGCATTTTTGACAAGTTGTAGCACAAAAACTAAAATATCGATCGATAGTCTGATTTAGAGTTTTTTTCTAAGAGAATATTTTATTTAATTTGCACTTGTCTTCATTTCTGGACCCCACTCTGTCAACATAAAGACTTGTCATGTTGCTCTGTATGAGTCCTTGAGCTAATGGCATCAGCGTGATGTTAACGTAAAGTTTCTCAAATATTTTTAAAAATGTTCTTTAAAAGCAAAGAGATGGTCGAGCAGAGCTTCTTCTGTAATGTGACGATTCAAGCTTTGCATCACATGTTCCTGCAGGTGTTGACTGGTGTGTCGTTGGTTTGTTCCTCTCAGGTGATCTGGTTTATCAGGCGGCGTCTCCGGACGAAGGCGCCTTGGTGACGGCGGCCAGGAACTTCGGCTACGTCTTTCTGTCTCGTACGCAGGACACCATCACCATCAGGGAGATGGAGCAGGAGAACACCTACGAGATGCTGGCGCTGCTCGACTTCAACTCGGACCGCAAGCGCATGTCCATCATCTGTACGAACACAAACTCGCTCACACATTTGCAAACGCACTCCTGGAGTTGTGCGGCACAGTCGAAGCATGTTGTCATGAACATAGCAACGAACTGCTTCAATCTAGGGACAAATCTTGCGTCATAAATATATGTCTCAGTGGACATATATATATATATATATATAGTATTCTAATGAGAATATTAGCGAACACAGTTAAAAGCAATGAAAACATACAGTCTTATCTTTTAAAGCTGGGGTAGGCAATAATCAGAAGTGACCAAAAAACACCAGAGTTATTTGTAAACGGAGCTTCAGACTGCAGCAAACAAGCATGCATACATACACACTTCATGCAACTCGAGCATGATCGATGTAATCTGGCTTTTTGCGATGCTAAATGTTGCCTCAGGGGAGATATAAGTCTAGGAGCTTGCCAGTTCTGGAAAAAGCAACTTTTTCCAGCAGGATTTTTCGCCATTGGATCTGGTTTTCCGCCGTCTTTTTGTTTGCAGAACAGCCAACAGGAACATGTGGGCATCCAAAGGCTGCTGTCGCTGGTTAGACTTCTGACAACTGAGCTGCAGAAGTCTTGTTTCTTCTCAAACTTCTTGAATTAAAGCAGCTGAAATGGTGTTATGGACTTTTGCTCCAGTGATGCCCCACCCACCAAAAAAAAAACACCAAAACTGCCTGCTCTAGCTTTAATTTCCATCAATAGGCTTCTGCTCGACCGTTTCTGATTTGCTCGATGCTTCCTCAACACACTTAAAATGGCGTCTGTAAAATTTTAGACCAATATGTCCAATACTTTCTCTGAATAAATCGCCCGTTGACACGCTTTCCGCAGGTTTTTTTGAAATTTAATGCTGTTTTTATGACAAAATCTCAGGAACTATTGAAGATAAAAGTAGTTCCATCTCAACTAATCACATTTTTAAAACAATGTCTGTTCGACATGCGCTGACATAAAAGTATGTTTTATCCAAAGAACCATTTTTAAACTCCTAAGCTCTACTTGGATCAGACTGTCGACCAATATTCTAGTTTTTGTGCTACAACCTGTCAAATCAGTTACGAAAATGTAATGAAAATAACTTCCTTTTTCATTTTGTGACTAATTATTTCACATTAAAGCTCTTCTACGTGTTTAGTTCTGCATTATTGTGACCTGCAGCTACATGTGGTTCAGAAAATTTCACTAGTTGACTTTTAGATGATTAATTTGAGCTCAAAAATGTAACTTTTTATGAGGCCATACATTTTTTTCCTCATACTTCAACTCCCCTATAATCAGAGATTATTTGTCCGATATTACAGATTCCGAATCAATGACGTGATCAGAAATAACGGTGAAAATTTCAGGTTTTTGTCTTTAACAGTTCCTGAGATGTCGTTCCAACAAATTTTCAACGTGAGAAAAACCGTGCTGCAATATTCTGTTACAGTCTCAGAAAGTACTCGACATATCGATCAAAGTCTCACAGATGTCCTTTTAAACACCCATATTTCGTGCTTATTGAATGTCTTTTGATGGTTTGCCATCCATTGATGCTCAAAGTAGCTAAAAAAGAAAAGAAAAAAGTGATGCGTTTAATGAAAATGCGTAAAAAATTGTTGGTGTTTTATCTCCAGGTTGATCTGCAGATTCATCGCATGTGGATTCAAACCGCACGAACCCAAACGTGGCTCAAATTTTTTAAATCATAGCCACAGATAAGAATAATCTGCAGCTGCTACTCAATTAATGGGAGTTTGTTTACCACAGGATTTGGATTTTACTTGAGGATTTACTGCCATAATACTTGAGACAGGTGTGACTTTGCTCCTCCTTTATTTTGTCTTCCAGTGAAGTTTCCTGACGGTCGCATTCGTCTGTACTGTAAAGGAGCCGACACCGTCATCTACGAGCGACTGGCGCCCAACACCAGGCACAAGGAGAGCACCCAGACGGCCCTGGACGTCAGTTCTTCCGGATTTATCCCCATCGCATCAGAGCGTTACGCGACGTCAGACGTTGTTTTTTTCCTCACAGCCTGTTTTGTTGCGTTGCAGATCTTCGCCAACGAGACCCTTCGAACGCTGTGCTTGTGTTACAAAGACATCAGCGCTGAGGAATACGCCGCCTGGTCCAGGAAGCACAAGGATGCTCAGGTCACCATGGTGGACCGAGACGCCGCCCTGGACCGAGTGTACGAACAGATCGAGAACAACCTGATGGTGAGTGCAGCTCAGGTCGAGTCACCGTTTCCTCTAAAGAACAGCAAAATGAATGAACCGAACAAGTGTAGATACTGGTGTTAAGATCCAACAGTGGTGGTTTTATCTGAATAATTTACAATTTCAGGGGTTGGAGCTATACAGAAATGCTAAATAATACCATTTTACCCCACTACATGTGGGATTTTTAATTATAAAGAACAACAGAACTGATATAACAATGGATCCTTAAGTATAATTATTTACCAAAATTAGTCTAAATAATACAAATATAAAGGCATTATTAATTGTGGCTGCGTTCTGTTCTGTTCTTTTCATTTTTCTGTTGAACTTTTGAAGGACACGTTTCCTTTTCAGCTGTTTTAAAGATGTAACAATTCACTGATTAATTCCGAGATGACAGCGTTACAACGCACTATATAAAGGAAGCGGGCGGATCTAGACTCAGTGGGGTGAAAATCAGACGAGCACATACGTTTGTTTTGGTTCCAAGCACATCCTTTTACTTTAACCACTTTATCTTTTACCCCCCCTCACATACACAAGCGCATCCCCATACACAAAACAGCAAAACAACGACACGGCTGAAAAAAAGGTCTTGAAGTTCGGTAATCAGTTCATGGACCGTCTGGCTTTATATACACAGTTCTACCACCACCTGCACGGCTCTGCAAGACCACAAACACATGCACGCCACAGTGCTCGTGGCAGGTGGCCGACGCCACCAACAGCTGATTAAACTCACGGCTCCGTGGATCAGCCCTCCTTTGAATGATGATCCGGTCCCCAGCAGCTCCGTGAAGCGGTCCGTCCTCCCGTTCCAGCAACTTTAGTTCATCCAAAAGTTCAAAACAAGCAAAACCCGAACTCCACAGCAGTGCAACTATGGGAAAGCCTCCAAGTCAGCGTGTGTCGTCATTTCACAACGTGCCCCAGTGCGCTCACCTAAATTCAGGTTCATGCGAAGCCACGCCCCCAACATTGTTGACATATATTTGATTCAATAAACAACACCTGTGACCCAGTGCGAACATATATTTACATTATTTCACAGACAACATAAGGCATCAATTCACCCCTGCTGGGTGCCTGTGAAGTGAGGACAGACCGGGCCTTTACAAAGACATCAACCTTTCTGGTAAACATCTGTAAAACTCACATCTAACCATCAGCGTTTCTGTGTTTAGCTGATCGGAGCGACCGCTATCGAGGATAAACTGCAGGACGGAGTACCGGAGACCATCGCCAAACTGGCCAAGGCCGACATCAAGATCTGGGTCCTGACTGGAGATAAGAAAGGTATCATCGACTCAGAACTCAGAAGTCTGGAATAATGTATATTGAGATATATATATATATGTTGAGAGATTTGTTATTCACTTATATGGATATTTACAATGAATATGTGTATCTCAGCTGCCAAATGAAGAGCATAAGTGAATGTTTTTTGTTTTTTTTAGCAAAAAGCAGAATCAAATTAAAACGTTTAGAATCAATATTTCCAACATTTGTCGAGCAAAACTGAAAAAAGATTCCAATTTGAAATTTCTTACTGTGACAAGTTGGGAACATTCACTTTCAAACGACTTCATTTACGCGTTGGTACGACCTGTCGTCCGTCGGCAATCGGTGCGTAAAGTTGAGTGAAATTGTGATACGTACCATTTCTGACGGTCGACTTCTCAGCGGCTGTACGCGTCACCTTCATGAAATTGGGCATCCTGAAACACCTCATACTGGACGATGTAACGCAAAAATGTCAGACTTCTGTTGTAAATCCTGTGTGTTGTATTGGTGTCCAAAGATGGTCTCTGGCGTTAATATTTCCTTACATTGAGCAGACCATTGAGGTGCCTGCAATGTGGGGTTTAAACACCTCTAGTAGAGAGGAAATGATGGTCAAATTTAAAGTCTGTACCTTGAATACTTCTTGAGATATTCTCATTTAAAGTCAAGGTCTCGTCACAAATTTGGCAAAAACAACAAAAAGAAGTGTTTTTTCATTATTTCATTAAAACCATCAGAGTTAAGACCCTAAGACTTGGGATTACACCATCTTCATGATGAACCTTTCTCCTCAGCCCAGTCTGATATGGTCATACGGGAAGATTTTCTGAAATCTCGTATTAAAGAAAGCGTCACTTTTTAAACGTGAAACTGGATTAAAAACGGACGACGTGTTTATTTCTTCATGATTTACGTATCATTCATCCCCAGAAACGGCAGAGAACATCGGATATTCCTGTTCACTTCTGACGGACGACATGCAGATTCACTACGGGGAAGACGTCAAGTAGGTCGACTAAACCGCCTTCTGACATGCAGGTTTAATTTAGAAAACATTAACAGAACATACCAGTTATGTCGTCGGGTACCTTCTGCTCGACCATCGCTGACTTGCTTCAGACTGTTTTATCGTAAAATATGGATATTTAAAATGATATCTGTGAAATTTAGCGTTGATATATTAACTCGTTTACAAGATAAAAGAAAATAAAAGCCCACTTTCAGCACATTTTTTTTTGATAAATTTGAGGCTGTTTGAACAACATCTCAGGAACTATAAAAGATAAAACCTTAAAATTTTCACTGTTATTTCTCATCATGTCATTGATTCAGAATCTGTAATATTGGACAAGTAGCTCAAATAGTCTCTGAATATCATTTGTAAGTGGTGCGATTTCAGCAATTTATTTATTTTCTATGCCGTGAGGTTGTGGGGGTAAACGTCAGAGTGTGTTTCCTGGTTGTTGAAGGCGCTACTGCAGATGTGGAACAGCTGTATAGAGTTATTAAGGTCTCCAGATGGAGCAGTATGGAGTCTGTAGTGTAATTTATTTGACCTTGTTTGGTTCTGCTGCATCCATTTAATCCTCAATTTAAACTCTCCACCTTGAGTCAGACGGTGTTTTATGAAACCAGTGTAAAATTAGTAGTTCAGGTGAAGCTTCGGCGGTTTTATTTCAGCATTCAAGTCTTCACCCTGGTATTCGAGCAGGTGTTGGTTTATCACCGGGACGCGGTATCAGGATGTTTTGTTCCTCACTTTGCCAACTGGGTTGTAAGACGAGATACGACGGTCCGTTGTTTTGTGTGTCTGCAGTGAGAAGCTGAGCATTCGTCAGGCCAACAGGAGAAACGAACCTCAAACTGTCCGTCGAGGCAAAAAGAAACCTGCGGAGCCTTTCTTCACCGAACCAGGCAAAAACGCTCTGATCATCACCGGAGGATGGCTGGTGAGATTCATACAAAAGTCAACCGTCGCCGTAGTGCTAAAATCAAAGAAGTTGGAGGAAGTTGTTTTTAGATTCGGGTGACCAAACGTCCTTTTTTTCACGTCCTGTCCTGCCCTGATGTCCTGGTTTTAAATGTATTAAATTCTAAGGCATCTTTGAGTAAACGTCAAGAATCATTTGAGTGTCTCATTGCCGGGCCGAGTGTCCTGGTTTTTGGTAATCAAAATGTGGTCACCCTATTTCACATCTGTGCTTTGTTCAGAATTGCTTTGTCTGCTCGGCCAAATATTTCTGTGCTGATTTATCCTCATGGTATTTTTTTTTTTCCAGAACGAGATTCTTTACGAAAAGAAGAAGAAACGCCGCCGTCTGCGTCTTCGTCGTCTGGGAAAGCGACCGCCTCCCAGCAGCCCTCAGAATGGACAGCCCATGAATGACTTGGAAAAAGAGATGAGACAGGTAGAATCAACGTGAACATTATGTGAACGGAAGAAGAATTTAGAGTTAAATGAATCATACCAGACCACAGCTTTATTACAACACGACGTGAAGTCTTAGAAATGTGGGTAAACGAACCTCACAAGTCACTTTAACCAATGCAAACTTGTTCCCTGTGCATAAAATAAATGATATTCTCAAATTTAACTTTAACTGCAACATAAATGTTAGGTGTCAGGTTTATTTTCAAACTGTTTGATTCTTGCCAAATTATTCATTTACAAATTAAGGAGCCTGTTGGACAATAAATGTAATTTATTTTCATAAATATTTAAATCTATAGCATAAAAACAATGTCAAATCAGCGGAGATGTTTAGCAGACAGTAGCAAAGAGTTCAGGCTAGCGAGTTAGTGCTACAGTAAGCTAATGTGTAGCGTAACATTATTAGCTGAATATAAAGTCAGCTAGTTAGAATTTTAGACAGATAATACATTTTTACTGCTGGTTAGCTTTTATGTTACTGCATTAGATGATAGCGACATAATCTAACAGAAATTTAACATTAACAAGGCTAGAATTTAAAAAAAATAATAATAATTTGATGTTTAAGGGGGTCCCATTTTTACAATTTTGCCAAATATTTGTTTTTTCTATTCGTTCAAATGAATTGATAGCCCTCCACATAACTCTGTTAGCAATAAAGAAGAGTTTGTACATGTATGTTCTTAATTAAAACCACAGAGGTTTATTTTGTACAGTCGGATTATTACATAATCTTTTCTCTCTAAAACCACTTCTGTTGACTTATTTGCACGAGTAGAATTATTTTCTATCATCCAAGCAAAGACTTGAAATGGAGAGCGACTAAATCTAACAGTCAGGAGGGATAATGTGGTGGAGGGGCTTCCTACATATAAATCTGAGGAGTGAGCTACACATATAATGGATGATGCATCACTTCAAACATGGTGAAAAGTAATTTTTTCCCCCCGTAGATTGACTTTGTGGACATGGCTTGTGAGTGCGAGGCGGTCATCTGCTGTCGCGTAACACCGAAACAAAAGGCGAACGTGGTGAGTTTGGTGAAGAAGTACAAGAAGGCCGTGACGCTGTCCATAGGGGACGGAGCCAACGACGTCAACATGATCAAGAGTAAGGACATTAAAGTTCACTCTGCTTTCGCACATTTTTTAATTTTAAGTTTCATGTGTCAAGTATTTTCTTTTTCTGTCTTCGGTTCCTCCAGCTGCAGACATCGGCGTCGGCATCAGCGGTCAGGAGGGGATGCAGGCCGTCATGTCCAGCGACTATGCCTTCGCCCAGTTCCGTTACCTGCAGCGCCTCCTGCTGGTTCACGGACGCTGGTCCTACATCCGAATGTGCAAGTTCCTGCGTTTCTTCTTCTTCAAGAACTTCGCCTTCACACTGGTCCACTTCTGGTACTCCTTCTTCAGCGGATACTCCTCACAGGTAACGTGATTCTCCATTTTAGTCTAGACTTATTCACGACTTAATGTGAGCAAACTTTCGGACAAATTCTTCTGTCTTCATTGATTCAAAATCTGTAATATTGGACAAGTAGCTCAAACAATCTCTGAATATCATTTGTAAGTGGTGATTTTAGCAATTTATTTATTTTCTAAAAGATAGCATGCAGTCAGGTTGTGGGGGTAAACGTCAGAGTGTGTTTCCTGGTTGTTGAAGGCGCTACTGCAGATGTGGAACAGCTGTATAGAGTTATTAAGGTCTCCAGA